CCTGCCTGGCGAAGCACCTTGATAGCTGTCTCCACATCAAAGTGCACCTCGCTCTCGCTGGTCTAGAGGCAGGACAGAGAGAGCGGAGTCAACCCTGGAAGGTCCAGATGAGCCATTTGAGCCTCAGAGGAAGCTTTCCAGGCTCCCTGATGCCCAAGGGCTTGGGACAAAACACACTGCAAAAAGGGATTGCTGTGGCCTCTCATCTTCAAAGCTAGACCCAGAAAGAGCCAACCTGAAAGAAATGGGGAACTCTACTTCTGTCATCCCATCAGCTGAAGGGAGGACAGAATGGGTTGTTTCTTCCCTTACAAAGACATGTTTTCTAAAGTTTCTCAACTCCAGAATTGAACTGACATCCCCACTGGAGTGGCTTAAGGAGGCTGCATCTCATTTCACAAGATTTTCTATATCTGCGCTAGAAAACCTCTAGCACAACTGGCAACTCAAGCAGAGAAGAGAGATTAAAAATTTCAGAAGACTATATGTAAAGAACATCAGCACAACCACTATACTTGAAAATGAGAAGCATAAACCATCCTGTCAGAAGAGATCCTCATGAAAGCCAGGGAGTTCAGTCTACAGGAGCAATTCACAGAGGCGGAGCCCTTGGCGTCCAGAAGAAAAAGCACCAAAGGTGCCGTTTGCCCCCTTCACCTTGATGAACTCCTCCAGCTTGGAGATGTCCTTCAGCTTGGTATAGCAATTCAGCAGCAGGGTGGTGTGGTCTGCATTGGCCAATGATTGCAAGTGCAGCATCTGCAAGTATGCAGTCAGGTTGTGTATCCGCTGAGCATCCAAGAACTTACGGATCACGTAAGATGGCTCGAGCTTCCCAATAGTGCTAAGAAGAGAAGAGAGAACAAGTCCCAGTTGCTGAAGCCAAATAAGGCGTGTGTGTAGCTTTCTGCTATGAAGTAGGTCACAAACAAGTGAGCAGCCACAACCACTGGTGCCACTGCAGTGGGAGGAAGCAGGTCTCAGATGCAAAGGCCAGGTTGGGGAGGAGAGGGAGGGAAATGAAGCAGGCATTAATAGGAAGTTTCATCCGTCCAAATTCTTTCATGAGGACACCCTGCTAAAGATACTCCCATGCTGACTTGATGCATACCGTAGGTCTCCAAACTCCTGTTATTTGCTTACATGCTAGGCAGTCATTCCATTTATTTGACAGAGCAAAAATAAACTCTCATTTGCCAGGACCCAGCCAGCTTTCATCCTAATCTATCTCAGGACTTTGCTGCTCACTGGAAGCTTATCAATTTGCAGTCCCCAGTGAAATTTGCCATCTCATGAACCTTCCGCTTAACATGGAAGCAAGAGAAGCCTGCCAGAAATCGCAAGCTAGGTTGGACGTTAACCCAGCTTTGGGAACCCAGAAAAGAAGTCTCACCATTATGCAAGCCCCATGGGAGAGGGAGACCAAATCTATTCCCAGTTCTTTAATACTACCTACCGGAGATATTGCTGAATAGCACCATCATGGTTGCCCTTGTTGTACAGATGATCTCCGTACTGGCGAAAGATCTCAGACAACCCATCGCTGTCCAGGTGATGACTCTTAGCCAGGTTAATGGCCATTTCAAAGAGGTTCTTCTTGAAGAGCATCTGTTGAAAGGAAACTGTGGTTGAAGAAAGGTTCTGAGCAGAGGTTCTAGCACAAAGCTGCTCTCTCCAGAGGTTTGCAAGAAGCAGAAAGGACATTTAGACTACCCAGTCCATCCCCCTCCTCAGAGCCTTGTACAGATGTTGGTGTGGGAAGAGTCTCTGCAACAGGCAAACCTTAAAGCAAGCTCCCCAAGGACAAGAGCAGGGCATGTGCTGCCCGACAGCCTTTCTATCTCTGCCCCAGTGAGCTCCAGAAAAAGTAGGTGGGATATCTTGCCTCCAGTTTGGTCTGTGTATCCTTCTCCTGCAGCACATGGAGCTTCCCATCCCTCGTTAATACATAGAGGCATCCCCACTCTGCCAGGACATCCACCACATCGTCAAACATGGAGCTGTAGGCAATGAACTTGTTGCCCAAGTCATAAATATTCAGGATTTGCTTGTCAGAGTTTTGCGGATCTCCCCCAGCAAACTCAGATCTGAAGCAGAGAGGAGGAAGAGTGAAAGACAACCCTTCCATTACATTTAAGCCTTTCAGCCAGAAACATCCTTAACATGCAGAGGCTGTGAGCTCGGTTTTGTGCCCCGGATAAAGGAAGAGTTCACACCAGCTCTAGCTGCAGCCTCAGCTATAGACCACTATCCTGCACACTTCCAAAAAGTAACAACAACAAGGGGCTGCACTCTTTGAAAAAGGGACTGATGTGTTCACCAGATACAGAGAGCAGGCTGCTCTATGCTTCTTTCTAAGTGTAGATACAACCATCAGGTAATTCCACAAACTACGATAGTTTAAATCATCTTGCTGCAAGCTATGAGTTCTTCCCAACTCAGTCACGTTTTTTTTAGCATCTAGTGACAATTATATTCTCAATTGTTAGTTCACAATCCCAGTCACAACTCTCAGAAAATAAGAGTTCCAACAGTATCTGGAAGGCAAAGCTGAAATTGTTCTGCTCCATCTGGAGAAATATAGGCCAAGAACATTTCTTAGGAATACAGGTTAGAACCACTGTTAAGGATGTTTCTGAATACAGGGGCGTTTTGTCTAAATTTCATAGCTCATCAAAAAAGAAAAAGCACATCAGGAAAAGCCCCGTCCCAGCAACCAAATGAATTTGAAATGTCTTACTTTGGAGATGCTTTCCAGTCCTTGGACACTATGACCAGATAGCCCCGATACCAGTGGACAATCAACTTCTGACCCTCAAAGGCAAAGCAAGGCCCACGCTCATCTGGCTGGTACAGATATACACATTCATCTCCTGCCACTATAAACTGGAGGTCCTGAGAGGGATCACTGAGCGTGGAGCAGCGCAGTCCACAGCCACGCATGTCCAGTTCAAGCAGAGGACAGTCCTTCACTGAAAGCGTGTAACACTGCAAAGACAAAGGGAAGGAGAAGGGCAGCAGTGAGGACAGAAATCCGACAGTTGGGTGGGGAATGGATCAAACCCCTGAGTTCTGTGATATCTGCACTGCCCCATGGACCAACAGCCTACCTGAATTTTCTCGGTGGTAGCCACAAACAGATGAGTTGTTTTGCTTGACTGGCGAAACACAAGGCCAGTAACTGGGTGGCCTCCTTCCTGCAGAACCTGAGTTTTACTGTGCCGATCCCTTGTGATGTCCCCCTTTGTAAGCACAACACTCCCATCCACAAAGCCTACAGGAAAGGTTTCCACAAGCACACGCTTTACAAAATAAGACGGAGACATCAAAAACTTTCCCCAGTTCTTCATCTAAGCTGAACAGAGCAACTTCAGTTGTAACCTGCTTCGAGTATAAAAGGGCTTTATAAACAGAATACATATAAAGGGGTTTTAAATAAACAGAATATGAAGCAGGCTGCCTCCCCAAGCATTACTCTTCCCACTTCACTTGCCTGTTAATGTTTGGAATACACGATAGCAACTCTGTTTCTAGTTACCAATAGCCATGAAGTTGAGATTTTCGTGGACGGTGAGGCAGGACACAAGTGTGAGCTTGTTGCCTGGTATTGCAGGGAAAATCCTGGTGCACTGAGGCGTCCCACCATCGCGCTTCTCTAAATTCCAGACTTTGACCTACAAATTATCCCAAGGAGATTATTAGGGGAACCATCACACCTCCAATACATGTACATTTGGAATAGAGAGCTATACATGAGGCATCTTGGCTTCTACATTTTGCATTTATAACATCTGCTCTTAACTGTATCTTTGTTGTTTTACATTGATTTGTATTGTTATTGTATCTGGAGACAGAATAGCAGATCTTGCTTCTGTGGAAGTCGGGGCCTACAGTTATTTCAGAGATGGAACATGCACACGCCAAGTCAACAAGTTGAAGATGTTAAAGTAAACAGGGGAGTGACTTCAGTAGATAAAAGAAGTCTACCGACTAACCCTGAGATGAGATCATAAATTAGGTAACTAGGAAGTGCACCTGCAGACGCCCGGGTCAAACATCCGCGCGCAGAAGGCCCCGCTGCCCCGGCAGGCTCTGGGCTTGGCGGCCCCCGCCCCGGCCCCCCGTCGCGCTCACCAGCGGATTGATTCCCTCCTCCTCCTCCCCCACCGAGACCAGGATGCTGTGCTGCTTCAGCTGGAAGAGGTGCGTCACCCTCAGCTTGTAAGCCTGGAAGCTGCTCAGTTCC